CTAGGGTATGATACGATATGATATTATTATGATTATGATACGTGTGCAAGTATGTTCAATTTTGTGTGCACTCACTCATCCGTAAGCACCCTAGTCCAATCGAATTTCTTCCAACGATTTCTGAAGCCTTCCAATCTTTTATCCCCTCCTCGACTCCACCGTCCCTGTCGTTTGATAACATCAGGCTCAATATCCAACATTCCGCCGATAATTTCCCTCGCGAAGAGATCTCCCCTGGGCCAACGATTGGCGTCTTCAACTATATGTCCCAAGCCACCATCGAGGTCAAACCAAGCATGAAAATAGGGCATCTCCTTAGCGATCGATCGGCGGAAAGCTAGTTTTCCAAGACCATCTCGTGCGCGTGCTGCAGTGTCGATGAGCTTCTTATGTTGTGTCCACTCTTCATCCGAGGATAGGATGGCTTCTTTGAAAAAGGCTGGCGCGGTTTCTCCTAGGCTATAGGGCAGTGGTACTGCCTGCATGGCTGCGTGCATCTTTCGGTGTGGTGTTGCGGCATTTTCGTAGAATACTACATCTCGTCCTTGATCATGATACATGCGTGTTAGACATTTCATGAAGTTTCTAATTTCCTCCCATTCATCGTCGTCGCATTCAAGCAGGTTTGTCCGGTGCTGAATGGGTACAATGACGGCTCCACCATCACTCAATTCCGGCTCTGTCGGGAGTGTTAAATATACTCGTGTAGCTAAGGATACGAGTGGCGCAACAGGAGGTTGATTTTTGTCTTCATGATGACACAATTGGCAGGAGTCCAGAATGCGATTCATCTTTTGGAAATCTCCTATGGCTGTATTCCTCAAGTTTATTTCGGACTTTTGCACGCGCTTCGCAAGCTTATTTGCATTGTCGTCCATGTAGTCGAGGTCATTATCGAATTTAGCATCCTTCGCGATGCGTTCAGCGGCGCGCATACCATCACCGCCAACTTGTCCTTTTGTCCGTCGTTCCTCGCGCACCATATCTTCAATAGTCATATCTTCATTCTCTTCCACCAAACCTCTCTCGCGGCCCCTCTTATTGTCGATCGACTTCACTTCTCCACGAGTTCCCGCCAACATTCTGCTGTCCATCTTCCCTAACACTACCATACCGGGTTCTGAAGTAGCTGCTAATCCGGCTGAAGCTGCAGCATTGTATTCAGCCTCGAGTCTCGCAGCGTCAGGCGATTTCTTGAGCTTTGCTTTCATCATTTGAGCCTTCAATCGATTCAGGGCCGTGGCATCGAGCTGAACAGGGGGTGCGTTTGTTTCTTCCATAATCTCCCCTTGCGGTAGATTTGCTGGCTCATCACGGTGTGGTATCGAACCTCTTCTAATACCTAGATCCAATTTTCTCTCTTGAAACAACTCTCCGCTAGGCTTCTCTTTCCCAACATAGCCTTTCCCATAGAGTCTTCGGCGGTCAAGCTCAATTTGTTCTTCTCGCGCATCATCAAATTCCCGTAGACCTCCAAATCGCGCAATAGCTATCTCATCGATAGGCTTTCCGCTCTGTTCCGCCTGTGTATATACTGCCTTCAATTTCGTCATGCGCCATTGAGCTCCTGAATCTCCAAATGTATAATCGACGTCATGTCCAGCTTCGATGTCGTCCAACTTTTTGACTCCTTCATTTAGATCTTGTAGATGCTGATTGAGTTCGTTCTTATGAATCTTCAAATCGTAATCAGGTCTGGGTGCAACTTTTGGCTCCGTAGGCTTTTTGGATCCCTTTTGTGTGTAATCGAATTCGAAAGCTGCAGGATCCGTCATCCAAGAGTCGCGAGTAGCTTTTGGTTGAACTTCTGCTTCCTCCTCATCTGGAATTGGTAGATCTTCCTTGGGTTCCGATGATTTTTCGTGCTTGCGCTTCCTTCTGTCCTCATCTTCTTCCTCGTGTCTGGAATGTCTCGATCGCTTATGTCGGTGGTCGTCTCTATCTTCATCGTCATCCTCTCTGGACCTGTGGTGCCGTGATCTATGATGGTGTCGATGCTTCCGATCCTTATCTTTGCGCGAGCTTCTTTCACTTTTCTCCCTCTCTAGCTTTTCCGCTGCTAAGCTTTTCTCGAACTCGTCCAAGCCGTCCATTGTTGTAGAGTTTATTGATATAATGAAATTTGATGTTTTTGATGATGGTTGCCCAGTACCGGTAGCGAGAAGCATTACGGGAGCGCTACTTTAGCAAGGTACGAAATTTATTTGAAGGACCATGCATCCCACTTCGCACCCCGCCAAATTCCTCTACTTACACCTCACAAACACAAGTCGATTTTTCTTTAACAAACAAATAAAGCATCTTTGATATGGCGGATTCTAAGAAACCAGAGGCTTCTAAGCCTGTTTCTATTGTGTGTGTAGGCATGGCCGGTGAGTTGATGTTCATTTGCATTTGATGAATGCGCCCGCTAATTCTCCTCCGACAGGTTCTGGTAAAACTACCTTTATGCAACGAATAAACTCTCATCTACACGGCAAGAAAGAGCCTCCGTATGTTCTCAACCTGGATCCCGCTGTACGAAATGTTCCATTCGAGAGTAACATCGATATCCGCGACTCTGTCAACTATCAAGAAGTGATGAAAAGTTACAACCTTGGACCGAACGGAGGAATTCTCACATCGCTCAACCTTTTTGCTACAAAGATTGATCAAATATTGACCGTACTCGAAAAGCGCACCACTCCTGATCCCGAGAAACCAAATGCGACTCCTATCAAACATATTTTGGTCGATACGCCAGGTCAAATTGAGGTTTTCGTCTGGAGTGCTTCAGGAAGCATTTTATTGGATTCTTTGGCTTCGACTTTCCCCACGGTTATTGCATATATCATTGATACACCAAGAACGTCATCAACGAGTACTTTTATGAGTAACATGCTATATGCATGCAGCATTCTATACAAGACAAAATTGCCAATGATTCTGGTCTTCAACAAAACGGATGTTAAGGATGCTGAATTTGCTAAGGAATGGATGACAGACTTCGAATCTTTCCAGGCTGCTCTCAGAGAAGAGGAGGAGGCAGGAAGCTTCGGAGGTCTAGAGGGAGGTGCTGGTGGATTAGGTGGTGGTAGTGGATATATGGGATCGTTGCTCAATAGCATGAGTTTGATGTTGGAAGAGTTTTACAGTCATTTGAGTGTGGTGGGCGTCAGTTCTATGACTGGTGCGGGTATTGATGAGTTCTTTGAGGCTGTGTCAGAGAAGGCCGAGGAGTTTGAAAGAGATTACAAGCCAGAATTGGAACGCCGAAGAAGACAGAGGGATGCAGAGAAGGAGGAAAATCGAGGAAAGGAATTGGACAAATTGATGAAAGATATGGCCGTTTCGGGAGAGCCTTCATCTTCTAAAGCCAAAGGTCCACCAAATGCCAAACCCTCTACCGATATGGATACGTTAAGTGATATGGAGGACTCCGATGACGATCTAGCGGCCGGTGGAGATGACGATGAGGACGGCGGGGATAACATTGAAGGATTAAGTTCAAGATACAAGGCAGCTTTGGCAGATGGAGGAGGCCCGTCTAATGCAGACGATCACAGCTTCACTCGATACATCAGAGCCAGCCAAATGAATAATATGCAATAGGCGTGGAGTAGGGGCAAGATTGGCGAAATGGGCAAAGGAGTTCTAGGCTTAAGGGTTTTAGCATTTAACGGCGCATCTATGCTATGTGATGGCGCATATTGATACCAAAATATAGCTTTGGGTAGAAAAAAATGTAATTCAATGTACACAATATGATCGTCCTAGTCCTCTGTCGAACGTGCGCCGGCCATCGAGTAGTGACAATCTTTTTATACCCATGCGCCTCGAGATATGTCTCGTACCTTGACCATTACCACTCCATCAAAATTGTATCAATCATTTCCCAGACCCCTCCCAAATCTCTTCGTTTTCCAATCCTCTCTCATATCTCTCTATCCTCACATGTTCCATCACATAAACTCGTTTGCTTCAAATGTGCCCATCCATTCCGCACATTACTCCACTCATCTTGCCTCGAACTGAACCATTCTATCACCAAAGTAAGTTTCTCTTCCGCAAAATTCCACACCCCGCTCTTCTCGAAACAAAATCCACATACCTAGAAGTTCTCTCCTTGTACAAAACACGATGACCGCACTCTTTGCATCGAATCGGATCACCTCTTTTCAACATCACACTCGCATTACAATCGCCGCACAAATATTTGATCGCAGGCCCGTCGCCCAAAACTCCGGATGCGCCATATGGATTGGGGGCTTGGGTGGGGTTTGTCGCTGGGACGGAGGTAGGTACTTGGTAATCGTCTGACATATTGAAGGGGTTATTTTTGTTGATGCGAGGGTTGTGGTGGTGGGAGTGGTGGAATATGGGAGTGGTGGAGGGTGTCGCGGGAAGATTTTCTTACAAAGAGAGATGGATTATTATTATTGAGCGGAAGGCTGAGAAATTATTGTGGGGTACGGCGGCGAGAGAATGAGCTAGATGATTTTGGGGTTAGACAGGTACCTATGTATATCAAAAGGCTACCTAGTCTCAAGCTTCACTCAAGCTTCGCTCAAAATACAACCAACCTAGCATATAAAGTATTTTCACTTGATTTGATCTTGATAGGATTCCCAAAATAGATATCAAAGTGTTCCGAGGCCAGTTCTGTGGTGACCGAATCATGAGATTGCTGCATGAAATGCCTCTGGTACTTATAAGATTACTTAGAAGAGATAGGTGGGTGGTCCTGCTGTACTGCTGATGCGTTGTAATGGATTTGGCACTTGAGGCTTTTAAAGCATCTACCTGTTAGATAAGCTTACCTATGCGCCTTTGTAATATCTGTTCACAGTATGGTATGTATGGAGGAGTATGGCTAATAAGAATCTTCCATGATCTATTGATAACTGTATGTAGATATTAGCTAGCTACGAGTGAGTACGAGTATAGATTTTGCAATTTTGCGATTAATTCGTACCTACCTAATTAATAAGCTTTCCATTGCACGGACTCACTGATCCTTCACTTAAACCAATCATCCTCTGGTTCAAAATCTATATCCTTGTCATTCCGCATCTAGCCCACCAGCCCTTGCCTCAATCTCCAGAGTAACAAACTCCTTCACCTTTTTCCTTCAACCTCCACTGCTTGCTTGTTGCTTTTTGCTTGTGCTCGTGCTCGTGCTTGTGCTTGTGCTCTCTCATCCCACCAACCTCATGCAAGCACCAACAATTTATTATATGCAATCATATCGACAAATTTGGTAGTACTCAACCACGCAACGATGGAATAATCCAAACTTTCTCTTTTCCCATCTCTTTTACATTTTGTATCCGCATTCGTTCATACTCTTCAGTAATATCCTCTCTTCTATAAACCATCAGGTGGTGGCGATCTCATTGCAGCCCTTCCTTTTTTGGAATACCCTCAAACTTTTGATACGCCTTCTTCATAATCTCCATAATCTTCATACATAGATCTATAAAATCTAATTCAATAATACGTGCGTGCACGTTAATACTTGATTCGCATATGATGCATCATGGTATGTTCTCCCTTTACAATCCATTCAAATACACCTTTTGTATTTCCCAGTAGGACTCTGCTGCACCAACTTCCCATGTCTGAAATGGTTTAAATGGTTTGCCATATTCAAATCGAATTCAGGAGTCAAATCTTATCCAACTACTGAAGACGATTCCATCAAACATTCAATTCAAATCTAGAAGTTAGCCGCTGACATGAATTTTTCACTCAGGGTTGTTGTTTTTCCAGACCCCGCACTGAATACTCTGCTGGAGCTGGTGCTTCCTCTTCTCAAGCAATCGCATCGTCCTCGCGACCTCAATCTCGATCAGGTCTAGCTAGGCCATCGACAAATGCCTCCTCTAATAGCAATCCTCCTCCCCGAACCCACCACCGTATTCCCCTTGATGAACACTTAAACAAACCTCTTAAGCCCCACGTATGGATGAGTGGAAGTAAGTTATGGACACGACGAGAAATAGATCGAGCACGAATAGAATTCTTCGACACTCGCGTGACGGGGAGACCTGAAATATGGCAAGCTATAAGAGCTTCATTGGAAGCAATGTGGAAAGGTGGAGAGCCTGGTGAGGATGATGGGGGTCTAGCAACTGCGCAAATGATATTGAATGCGGCAGAAATCACGCTACCAGATGGAGATATGGCAATCAGGGGATGTTATGACAGTACAGGTGCATTATATCGTGTACCCGAACATGTTGTTTCCGATCCAGCGAATATCTTGGACGATACTACGGCAGATGCAACAGGGAAGAGCGATGATGAAGGAGACCTGGCGGAGGAAAGTGAGGAAGTCGATGAGGAAATATTAAGGAGGAGAGAAACGAAAGGGAAAGCCAAGGCGAAAGAGATGATATCAGTGAAAGCGAGATTCCAACACGGTATCAATGGAGATATAGTGTTCAAAATTGGGAAGAACGATTCGGTGCGCTCACTTATCAAAATAATAACGCAGAGGCTTGAGGTTTGTATCTCCCAAAGGTTTTCTCCAACCTCCAAAGCTAATTGAGTGAACTAGATTTCTCCACCCAAGCATGTGAAAATCAATTATATGGGCAAGCTCCTCAAAGAAAGCGCCTCATTGGCAGCACAAGGGTGGCAGGAAGGTCACATTGTTAATGCTTGGGTACTTGAGTCAGACAAAACAACGTCGAATTGAGAGTCGTAGTGAAGTTGTATATAATAACGGCCCTCGCTCAGCACTTCCTCTGCAAACGACATTACGAACTAACAACAGTTTTCTTGTTATTCCTCTGGGTAATACCCCATCCATACTTGGCGTTATAGGATAGGCTTCAACGGATGGAACGAATCTGGTTGGAATAACTTGGTTGGTTCAGCCTGCGTATTCATACACCTGATCTATCGGCGAATTGTCATATGATTTTTTTTTAAGTTATACCCCTCCTCTTCATACCGAACATGTCGCGCAATACGCACCTACATAATTAATAAAATTCAATATTAGAACTACCCCTGGTATCTAATATTCCAGCATGGCAGAAGATATGTGAATGTTTGAGAATCCAATGTTCCAGATGAAATGAACGTTCTCGGCTGTTTAGATGTTAGCCTCGAAATGAAGAATTGAATGATTTTTTGGAATCCAAGATGGGTTCAATATCCTGTGCCTACCTACCTACCTCTACCGGCTAGGTATGAATTACACCTTCTGAACAAATTCAATAGGTACCTAGACGAAGAAGTCCATATTCTCGGCCAACAGTTCGCAGGATTGACGAGGTACATACTAGGTAGGTAGGTATCTTAAGACTACCTTAGGTACCTACCTGTCAGGAGGGTGACAGACCCAGGACGCAATGGATCGTTTAGTTAAGTGGTATCCGAAGGCAGAAAGAAGGTTTTGTTATCATTATGATTAAGCAAATAATATGTATTTACTAGGTAGGTAGGTAGGTAGGTGTTCTGAGATTGAGATATGCTAGAATTAGATGTTGTGTAGGTAGGTAGGTAGGTAGGTATGGCGCGCTTTGTATTTGAGATTTGGGGTTCTTTGGGATTTGGATTTTTTTGAGATTTGGATTTCTTCATGTTGAGGTCTTACTTATGAGTATGAGTAAGTAATTGGTAGATAGGTAGATAGGTAGCTATGGTAGGTAGATAGAAGGATTTTCTTGGTTGGGAAGTGAGTGATTGAGTGAGTGAGTGAGTGAGTGAGTGAGTGAGTTTTTGGTTTTGGCTTGGTTTTGGTTGGAGTGTGAGTAGCTTTTATCCGGGGGGGGGGGGGGCGGTTTCTTCTTCTCTTGAGGGGGTATTGAGGGGGTATTGAGGGGATGTTGAAGGGGGCTTTGTGTGTGTGTGTATGTATGTATGTATAGAGAGAGAGAGAGAGACTCGGAAGACCTCGGGGCGTAGGGGAGGGGGGGTTAGGTTTCTATTATTTTTCTCTATCTACTTTATACAGTCAGATACCTAGGTATATATAGGCGCATCGTATAGTTAGTATAGCTTTAGCTAGATACCTACCTACCTAGGTACCTATAGATAGATTGAATCGGTTATAAATTTACTACAACTATATGTATATATATAAAAAATAAAAGAGAGGATTTATAGATATTTTCTATGACTTTCTATTATCTCGTATAGTTTCAGGGCTAAGCGATCTTATTTTATAAATCTAATTAGAAAGTATTAGAAGTTTATATATAGTCTTGTTTAATTTGACTAATTCTATTATAATCAAAAGCTTTTACTATAAAATATAGGTTTTTATAATTTATAGTAGATTTCTAGTTTTGGAGTTTTCTATTAAAATGAGTTCTAAATGTAGATTTAATCGCTATTAATTATAGCTGAAGTTAATTATCTTTATTATAATGACTTGATATAATACTTAGGTAGTATTAATAATTTCCGCCTTGTTCTTAACGACTACAAATCTACGCATCTTGGTAGTTTTCGGTTTTACTTAACTTTGCTCAAAATGTCAACCGACCATAAATCTCCCAAGTCGTTATTCCCCCCGGTTTCACAACCTTCTCAGTACACGCCGCCTCCAAGGAGAAATCTACCCGCTGAAATTCCGCGCATACCTGACCATGATGACCCATCAACCGAATGGCTCCCCATATACAACACGCGAACCCCATACGACGAGGCCGAAATTGTACATCTCATTCACGAAATTGTCCGAAACTTTGTTCGGCTGTCAACCGTTTCGGAAGCTGAAGTGATTTGGCCTCCAGAAGGTGGTCATCGCCTTGATGAGGCGCTTTGCAATGAGCTCAATATTTCTGATGCAGCAAGGTCATTAATTCGACTTTTACCTTGTCCTGGAAATTGCATCTGCCCAATCTTTCTTTATCAATCTAGTCAGCTCTTCGACATTTTGGACAATGGGTTTAGTCTCCGTAGCAGTCGCGAGTCTCCATCGTTTGTGGAGGGGGAAACCCCTGCATCCGAATGCTATCTGCCGGGGATCCGGAGACACCTATTGTGATTCTTGATACAATCGAAAGTGAGTACAATGTCCGCAGTAGACGTATCGTCTTAACATGATGTTTGTAGATACGATTCGAGTAGTGTCCATCACGGACGACGGTCCAGACTTATCAAATCCCCCTAATACGCCCCTCGAGCGCCCTAATGATGTGGTCTACTATCGCAACTATTGGCCCAGGCATGCTCCAAGTTTCCTTCGTATGCAGCTGAATAGAATCAAGGCTCTAGATGCTATTCCACCGGGCCAGAGTGCACTAGGCTATATTGACTTTGCAGACGAATGGATGGTAAGTGAAATTTTCACACCGTAACTATAACGAACTACGTATAAAGTACGAAACTGATCATCTGTATATTGCTCGTACAGCGACGTAAAATTAAGCATTATTTAGAAGGTACATATGGTTGGCCAGATAATTTCAATCAGCAAGCATGGGATGAAGACCGTGATCGGATTTGGGAAGAGACTGAAGAAGAGTACGCACGTTTGGGTCGACCACATGTGTTAAGATTCTTGTGATCTAATGATTCAATAAGTGTTCGAGGGGTGTGTCAACAAGTTAGCTGAATCTCTCCAAATCACAATCATTGGATTCTCTGAACTTGATGGTGAAAATGAAAGTCCTGATAGTACAGTATCAAATTTATATATATGTTCAAAACGTGATACTATAAATATAGTATTGTACGCAACTCGGTCTATTAAGCTTCGAATTTTGATCTATTTGACTAGTTTCTCGCAACTTCTCCCATTGGTGGGTTTTCAAACTCTTCGTACGCAATAGACAATTGCAATACACAACACTTGGTAAGTATTTTTGAATTAGCGGGCTAAAAAGAGATTTTAACATACAAAATGCAACAAGTAAGTTGACGTTGAGGAGCTACAAATCTAATGTAAACAGTATAATTTTCTTACATCACAAAATCTTCTGGGATAAAATAACATCAAGTATAGAAGTACGCAAGGGTAATAAGTAAGATATTTATTATCGAGAATTCAACGAAATTCTAATCTTCCGCTGCAATGCTTTCAGAATTGATATATGTGACATGCATATGCATAACCACTCAAAATGATCTTGTTATATACATCAATCCAAAGAATGACATTCATCGTAAAACTCTTACAATGTACGCCGAAGTTTATGGCACTAGTTTTTGGGCGGGCTCTTCTGGTGGAACGGAGTGAGTGGGGTAACGAGATAAGATTAAGATCGGAGCGGAGGGAGGGAGGAATAAGCTCGTCTCGACAAGGACCCCTCCCTTCCTCTACTCCACTAGATGAAGAAAAAAACTCTTCTTTCTTCGCCTGCCCTTCTCCACCTCTTTTCATCTCTCGTCTCTCTTCTCGTGTCTAAGACTTCAAATCTCTCAGTGCCCATGGAAAAAATAGACAATTTGCCAGAAAGAGTCATCGACACTTTAAAAGTGCAAAAAATCAAGCGTCTTCAATGAATGATGGGAATTGAGCCCAACGGGGGGGTCGAACCCCCAACCTTGTGATTGACTAGAACATCTCGCGATGAGTAAGAGTCACACGCTCTACCGATTGAGCTAGCCGGGCAGGCTTTGCTTGAGCTTTGTTGAAGGGGCGAGTTCTATTTGAATTATTAAACTATGCAATGAGAGCGAAGGAAAAATCTTTAAAGGGTTTGAAGCTAAGCGAGGGAGGTGGAGCTACGAATGGAACTACCCCGGAAGTATGAGCATAGGAGCTTTCTTTGAACTTGACTAGGAGTAACTCGTGGATATTGTGAAAAGGAACTTTCTCTTCACATAGTAGATTGCATACTCAGCTCTAGTGTCTGTTTATGTATGTCATGTCATGACATGACTCGATGATCTGATTCTCGAGCTAGAAGGATAATATTGAAGCCTTCACATTTCTTCATCGTGACCTCTAGGAGTCTAGAAAGTCGGGTATCAGTGGCTCGTAGGGGAAATGTGCTATGACAGATAAACTCAAATATAATATCTTGCCAATTGTCTTGAACCCTCTCAGGCTCTAAGGGATAGCTAGTCTCACATCCGTGGAGTTGACCTACCTATATGAAGATAATCCCATGTTCATTTTCTTGAGAAAATCTTAAGATTCATATGCGACTACGGTCTGGAATCAACACTTCCCCAGAGTGTTTAGGTATGTGAGCTCTAGCTAACCTATTACGCGTACCGATTATGCTGCAAAGACGATATATTCAACTGAGCGAGTATGAAGGTGTAGTGTATGACATTGCACGAATTGATTTTCGGAAATGAGATGAGATTGAATAGAACGAGGTTGGCTTGACACATCTCGGGCATGTGAAGAAGGAAAACATATCCAATGTTTTGAGTGTGAAGTGACTTGAACCGAATTTTCGAATGGATATTCACATGACAGATGAGATTAAGATACGTCAAAAGATTGAATTGACAAAGACGTGGTGACTTAGTAAGACATTTAGTTCGGAAGGATCGAAGACAAAATCAATTATTTGTATCTCATTTCCCATATCCAAAGATTCAAGAACTTGAATCCTCTCTTTCCTTCAGTAAAATGATCACATGTAATCCCTCCCATTCTCACGCAGAGGTTATGTGATTGGAAAGCGGTTCCCGTGGTTTGGATCCTACCTGATGATCAAAGACTTCTAAAATGCGAGCGTTTTTCCGTTCAGCAATCGAAAAAAAAAGCTTCCAAATTTCGAGATATACAAATACTTCAATCAAATTGTGAGATTGGATGCTTTGATGATTTCAATTGCATGCAGAAGTTGGATGTCGAAATTGAAAGCGTTGCTTCATTATCATTCAGCGGGATTTCCAGTGAAGTGTCGAAATAGAGCAAGCATGATCTACTACACAGTCTTGGGCACAAAAAATGGTGAAGTAGAAGTTACATGTCTTCATAATTAAAATAGTCATTATCTTATCTGAACTGAATGTTCCTCAAATTGCTTTTTCCTTCTACACATTCGGAACTAAAGCCGAGTTCTGAACATGATTCCCATGTGTATCTTAACACACTAACCAACACTAGGTATCCCAACGCTAAATACAAAATTGAATTTGAATAATTAATGGCATCTCATCTTCTCATTAGTCCATCATCTCCATATCTCATCAATACCCTACTTGGATTCCGTAACACTCTTCTTTTCCTTTCCTTTAAAGGCCCCCTTGGCCTTCCCAACCAACTTGCCTAATCCCCCAAATAAGGTGGCAAATCCGAAACTCCATCCTCTAATTCTCACCGTGTAGATGAAGAAGTAAACCAACGCCCAATTGCTGATGCAAAATGCCAAGAAAATACCGAAATATTTCCATTTGTCATCTGGAGTGACGTTCAGATTCCTCATGTATTCCTCTCCACTAGAGTATGGACAATATCCGCAATTTGTCGTCGCATCCGGGTTCGTCAAGTAACCTACTCCAGCGGAAGTGACAAAGTCACTAGCATAAGAGGAACATGTTTGACCCGATGGAGGATTGAAATATGCAGCTTCATTTGAAGCACATTCGACAGGAACATTGGAGAGAGTAGCGGCGATAACACCGCCAATCCAATAAGTGGCTGGATTAAGGTAATAAAGCCAGTAGCGCCAGAAAACGGATATTTGACCGTAAGGACGAACAACACCGTTAAAGAGGCCGAACATGACAAAGAAGAAGGGCAGAACATTGGAGATTACGGTGAATGATGGTGCGAAAGCGCAAATCCATTGACCCCATGACGCTTGGAAAAGGAACTATAAAGTGATTAGTAACTTGCGGTGAGAGAGTGGGCTAAGAAGGGAGGAACTCACGAATAGCATTGTCATGAGGAACACGTAACCTGATGTAGAAGAATCACTTGGGAGACCAGTGGGCCAATACCACAATGCCCAATAAATCACTGCCCCGACAATAGCAATTGGTATCTCGGCGACGATATTCGCAGTGCAAAAAGCAACCCAACCATAAATTCTCGAAGGGAGTTCTCGGGCTTCCCAAAGTGCGCGATTCTGGTAGAACTTAGGCACAACAGCATTAACAATGGTAGGCGGGATAAGAATAATCAAGAACGAAGTGAACATTCGGTTCTGCATATCAATGATACTGTAACCTAGCTGCCAAAATGTGAAGCCATTGAAGATGCCGATGATGACAGATGTAAACAGCTTGCCGTAGAGATATGATGGATCACGCCAGTATTGAGTGAAGAGACGTTTAGTCAATTCAGTTGTTTGTAGCATAACCGGAGAAGCAAATTCACGCTGGGAATTAGCTTCTGGAGCGGCAACTTGGCCACGCTCGGATTTGATGCGCTCAATCTCCTGCATGACGGTCTTGTTTTCATTGGAATTAAGCCATTCCTCGTTCCAGTTAATTCTCTTGCCATCGCGACGTTTTCCACCCTTGGCAGCAGTTTCAAGAATGAATTCTGCGACGTTCTTTTGGGGTGGGCATTGTACTCCACGGTCAGCAAAGTATTTTACCACCGCCGAACCGTTTTCACCGACAGGCCCGAAGTAGAATGTATTACCACCTGGATTCAAGGCTAGGATCATATCGAACTCTTGGATAAGGACCGAGGAGGGTTGATGGATTGTACAAACGATAGCCTGGCCGGCTGCAGAAAGCTTCTTCAGGAAACGAACGATGGAATAGGCGGATTGTGAGTCGAGACCAGAAGTGGGCTCATCCAAGAAGAGTAGAAGGTTAGGTTTTGCTGCTAGTTCAACACCAATGGTGACTCTCTTTCTCTGCTCTACGCCCAAAGATCTGACCAAAGCATCTTGCATGTCTCCTAATTCGAGGAGATCAATAATTTTGTCTACGTACTCAATCTTCTCAGCTCTTGGAACCGTATGTTCTTGTCGAAGAATGGCTGAGAACTCGAGGGCTTCTCGAATAGTAGCTGTGCCGTCATGAAGATCCATTTGCTCGCAGAATCCTGTACCTCTCTGAAATTCAGTTCCCAGTGGTCGTCCATCAACCAACATGTCACCGGTAACTACACCTGTCTTTTGACGTTGAGAAAGGGTATTCAGGAGTGTTGTTTTTCCTGCTCCACTGGCTCCCATAAGTGCCACCATAAAGCCAGGTTTTGCATAGCCATTGACTTTGTTGAGAAGTTTGCGCTCGCCACCAAGATATGGCACTGTGTACTCGACGTTTTCCCATGTAAATACAGATTCAGAGCCAGTGATATCTTTCAGTGCTTCTTCTTGAGGTGGCTCAAGAGTGTTGCTGGAAGAGGCGCCGCTTGTAGGTATTGGACTGGTAGAAGCTGGCGAGTTTTCTTCATCAGGTGTAGCATTTTCCGCCTTGACCTTGTTCTTTGCGGCTTTTGAACGCTTGAACTCAAGTGCACCGCCACCGCCAGAAGTAAAGTCAAAAATTTCAGTGGCAACGGCAGTAACAATGATGTAGAGGACGGTCCAAGCAATCACTATATATAACACGTTAGATACCGAAATTTTTACGGAAAATTATCAATACTAACCGACACCGAAATTCCTCCAGAGATGAGACCTTGAGTAATTGAAACTTTGCTCCAGATATCTAGCTCCTGACACACTCAAGCTTCCAACCTCAGCACCAG